TAATATATTATCTCTCATCCTTATGATTCTAACACCTAAAATTACATTGGCTTCACTCATGTCTTCATTTCAAAATTTGATCTTACAAACAATTTAGTTCTAGTAACAATCTCATTGCATGTACCAAAAATTAACATGTCATCCACATATAAGCATATAATGACACAATCACCATTTTCATATTTAGAGTACACACATTTATCAATATCATTAAGAGAAAGACCATCATAAAGCAATACATTATTAAGTTTTTCATGTCATTGTTTTGGTTCTGGTTTCAACCCATACAAAGATTTAAAAAATTTGCATACTTTATTCTTTTGATTAGGTACAATACACCCTTCAGGTTGAGTCATATAATTTTTTTCTCTAAATCACCATTAAAAAAAAGCAATTTTAATTCATTTAGTGTATCACTAGCTTATGGATACCTGTTAAGGCTAACCACTCGAATAGAGGAAATCCTAGTCACAGGGACAAAGGTGTAAAAAATATCTATGTTGGGTTTTTGAGTAAAGTCTTTTGCTACTAATCTTGCCATATACTTCTTTATAGATCTATTAGGGTGGTATTTTTTCTTAAAGATCCACTTACAACCAATGAGTTTTTTTACTATAGACAAATCTACTGAGGTCCAAGTACTATTTTTCTGAATTGATTCAATTTCAGTACCAATGACCTTATCTCATTGTTTTGCATCAGGAGCATTAATAGCTTCTACAAAGCTACTTAGATCATTATCAATTAGATAGGTATAAAAATCATTACCAAAGGAAGTTTCCTTACTTTATCTTTTATTTCTTCTTAAATCCTTAAATGAGGCATCATTATTATTATTATCAACCAATTTAGATGTCTCACTAACCCTTAAGGGAAGCACATCTTTAAAAACCTAAAAACTCCACATTTTTCGTCTCTACTATAGAATTACTTGTAAGCATATCACTTTTAAAAACAAAAAACCTATAGACAACACTATGTTCAACATAAAACATGCAATATGATCGGTTTTAGATCCTATTTTCCTTTCCTTAGGATCGAATAACATCACTTTAGTTAGGCACCCTCACACTCTTAGATATTTAAGGTTGTGTTTATAATCTTTCCACAGCTCATAGGGAGTTTTACCCATTTTCTTATGAGGCATTCTATTTTGTAAAAAGCACGCAGTAAGTAATGCTTCTTTCCAAAGGTTATCTGGTGCACTAGAACTAATAAGCATGACATTCATTCCCTTAAGAGTTTTATTCTTTCTCTCGACTACTCCATTCGTGGATAAATCCTTTTGTAACACAAAATTCATTAAATAGTATATATTCACCACTCTATATGATATAATCCTCTTAATTTTCTTATTTAGTTAATTTTCTACTTCTACTTTATAGATTAAAAACACATCAAAGACTTCATATTTATGTTTGATTAAGTACACTTTGGTGTATCTAGAATAATCATCTATAAAGGTTATAAAGTATTTTTTACTGTCTCTAGACATAGTTTGTTTTAAATCAGCTAGATCAGTATGAATTAATCCTGGTCGTTCATTTTGACGATCTACAAAATTTCATGTTTTCTTTGTTATTTTAGATTCTACACATATATTATATTTAGTACTATGTTTATGATGCATATTAATTAATCATAGTCTTTGTAATTTCATAACATATGAAGAATTCACATATCTTAATCTAGCATGTCACACATCATATGAATCAACAATATAAACAGAAGAACGTGATTCATTAATATTTTAAAAAATATTGAGTACAAAGAGACATTGATCATAATATTCCTTTCACATAAAAACATTATTTTTTGTCATTGCAAACTTGTCAAAATTGAATCATACTTTAAGCCTCACTTGTCATATTTGAATTTCAATTTCATTTTAATATAACTTCCACTACTTAAATTTGAATTTATATCAAGTTTTTACACAAAGATAAATTTGTAATTATTTATTTTTATCAATTAAAATAATTTTTTAAATCTATCACATTCATCACAAACTTCATTTTCAAATATTTTCATCCATCCCTTAATTCAAACAACACTACAATCCCCTCTTCATCCCTTCACTCTTCCTTGCATCCAATTTCCAATTCAAACTATATTAGTAAAACCAAATATTTCCTTTTTCTATTTTTTTATTGTATTTTTTATAATTTATCTTGTGTAATTCTAGGATAAGTAGTTTAGTAGCTAACAATAATGATCAGCTTATGGAAAAAGATTGTGTTCTTCTATGTACACATCATTGGATAAAGTTGAGTAACGAGAGTTTTATAATATGTTTAAATAATTAAAACTTTCTCTGTCAATTAGTTCGATATTTGATTTGTGATGATGTTATTTTGAATATAACAAATTATATTAACAGGAAAATCCTCATTTTATATGTCTGTGATAATATTTCTAACCACGAATAATTTATATTAATACTATAACTAATTTGGTTGGTACTATTAGTGAGATTAAATGTGCTATGAAGATTCTTTATGTTTGGCTTGATTCATTGTGTAAGAAGAGATTATTAATTAGCCTAAGGTTCCATCTTGAACTGTCTGTGTGATGTTAAAAAGCACAAGTCTTGTCATTGGGTCTAAATATGTAGGAAACAAGAACATGAGAGGTAACAATATGAAAAGCTAAACAGGGAAAGATGAAGATAATGCAAGTTATGTTGTATAATTGAAACCTACAAGAAGCAATGTCACGAAAATAAACCTTAGAGATTCATCAAATCTATTGGAGAAATACTCAAATAATGGCTCAAAAAGAGTTTTTCCGAGAAGTATTAGACTGATGAAAAGCAGAACCTTCAAGGTGTATAATATATTGCCAAACTTAGCCATATCATAAAATTTTCAAGTCACCAGAAAATCATGAAATTATTCCCAACCAAACATTGTAAAAGGTTTGCAACCTTCAGTACAGTACCAAAAAACAAAATTCCTCTGAATACTAGAAGGTTATGTCAAAAGGACTAAGCATTAGGCTTCTGCATGTTTGTGTTTTCATTGAAAACATATAAGTGTTCAAACACTTGTTCCGTTTCTTGCAAAGCGCTTTGTGTGTGTTTGTTCGAACAAGGGTACTAGTGCTATTAAGGGTAAGTTTGTGACTAGCTTGAAGGGGCAACATAATTCATTGATTTTAATTCTAACTAACCACTGATAAAAAAGACATAACATGTCATTAAAATATAAATGTTTTAATTCTAATATAGAATGTCTTAAATGCAAAGGGCTCATATGAAAATCTGTGAAGAGGGTTTTTATTTTAAGTGAAGAATGAGCATCTAGATATAACTTCCCTTTGTTGAAACCTAGGGTGGTCACCTTGCTGATTTGAGTATCCTAGAAGACTATAACAGTTACGACAATGTAGCTCAATCATGTATGCTTGTTTAAGTTTGAAATGCAACTCAAATTGTGTGATTCAGGTATATATTTCCATAAGAATCCCACACTCAAGAAAAAGCATACGCCACTTTGTATTGGTTTGTTAAAATCGTCATAAATCACCGTAGCTATTGTGCTTAGAAATCTAAACAATGATCAACTTCTTCTCAAGCAAATATGATGTCCATGTCTGAATTTCTAAAAATGATCAACTCAATGTCTGTCTCTATGTACATATCTTAGTGTAGCACCTCGATAATATATATATATATATATATATATATATATATATGAAAAAAATATGAGACTACTTTTTATTAATAATTTTAAAATCATAATGCATAATTTTTTATTTTAAAAATATATTTAAAAGTAATAAAAATGTATCCTTAACAAATATGTCAATACCAAAACTAGAAAAAGAAGATTATGTTTTGCTTTACAATAGAATTATATTTTATTATTTATTATTTGAAAATTAATAAAATTAATTCAATATTTTTATTTAGTTTCTTATCAGAAGTTGTTGAAAGAGATGTTTTAAAAAAAAGAAAACAGATTATATTTCTTTTTTTCAAAGTTTAAGAAAATGTAATAAAAAAATCTAAGAGAGAGAAATTAAGTCCGGACGTCCAGAGATTTGGTGATTATGTTGAAGAATCTATACAAAATAATTGATTTATTAGTTAGATTTTATAAAAATAACTCATTTTTATTCAGTTACAGTTATTAAAAAATTTAAATTTAATAATATTCTATGCCCCATGGTACAATTGTTCCACTCTAATTAGTTTTGTCCCGAGAGAAAAAAATAATTGAAATGAGTTTAATGTTTTTATAATAAATAAAAGAAAAAATAATTAGAACTGATTTTATCTTTTTTATGGAGTTGATAATGAAAAATTACATTTTAAAATAAAATTTTCAAAACATAACCCCTAAATCTTAAGGATTTGTGTTAATAAAAAACAATTTTCTATTTTTTTCGGGTAAAAAATGTAGCAAAATATTAATTTACAGCTAAAATAAAACATAAAAAAACTATAAATATGTCATAAAAAATTACCAAACAGAATGCAATACAAAAATTTCCTTTAAATATAGAAAGAGAATAATAACAGAAACTTGAAAAGAAGTGCAGAACTACTGAAAGAATTTCAAACATATTTCACTATAATTTGTTCTAAATTATTCATATAATGATATCAAGGAAAAAGCATTGGATCATATAATGGGAACTACCATAGTCCTAATATATAGGTTTAGAGGACTGCCAGATCAGAAAATCCACCGATTTGGAACTTTAGTTCTAACAGGTTTGACGAAAGTAACAGACAAAAGTAGCATAGTTAAATTTCAATTTAATCCATTATAGTCAGAAAGTGGTGTGATACAAGTCTTTTTTTTTATCCAATTTGAAAGGTAATTTAAACATACATGACAAAAATGAAATATATATTCATGTTTTTGTTTCAACTTTTAACTTTGTTTGAAAAGTATCCTAACTTGAAATTTAAAACTCACTATAATGTATTGGTTGAAAGAATTAAAATAATAGAAAAAGGTATGTAATCTGTGCCCTTTTCCTGAATTTTTAAATGTCCATTTTGTGATTCCTGAATTTCAAAATGTATGAACTTTACTTGGAAAAGACTATCACATTAGAATAGTTCAGTCTAAAACATATAATTATGAATCCCGGAATGAAACGATAAACAATGAGAAATAACAACTCTTCCATTTATAAGGTGCATCCCACACGAGCCTCAAACCAAAAACTCATTAAAAATCCACACAAACTTTCAGAGGCTGCCACTGCTCACTTCCACTCATTCTTTTGCTTTCCCTATAAATCCTTCCTTTCCCAGAAAACTTTAGAACAAAAAACAGATACAAACAAGGCAGCTCTGGCTTCATGTAAAAGGGTTCCATTTCAAGTTCCTCTTGCAGAAAAGGACACCCTATTCCGTACCAATAAAGTATTTAATACTGAGAATGATCAAAACAAAAGAAAAAGAAAACGATTGCATGCTAACTTAATCTTACAATAATAGAAGATTTGGTGATGGTAGACTTACTGATGACACCAAAATTTGAAGCTTTTATATGATGAGACATGACATGGTTGAAATTGAAGACTGTGGTGACAACTTCGCTAAGAACTACTCTATGAAGCCAGTTTTGGCCAAAATAGCATTCCTCACCTTGCTAAGATCTCTCCCTTTCAGAGTCCTCCCCATCCCTTCACACACAGAGAAAGAAGAAATCTGGCTTCTTGCAAGCTTTCTTGCAATCCATTCATGTGGAGGCACCATGTCATCATCCTCATCATCACCACCTTTGCTGCATGAACCATCATCCTTTGACCCTTTCTTGCAACTCTTCCCATAAATTTTAGACCAGTCAGGGATATCCATGGGTTCTGAGGAACCTTTCAACAATGGAGCATCAGAAGAAGGTGGGGTGTTGGAACTAGCCCTTGGAATCTTTCTTGTGGCAGTAGGTAAACGCCATGCAGAAGAAGAACCACAAGATTCCTTGCATGCCCTTGTGGTATTTGGGGCAGAATCATCTTTCTCGCAGTCCACACTCCACACATCTTCATCAAAATCTTTGTTTCCCATTGCTCCTCCACCAGCAGCACAACTTTGATTCAGAAAAACACCTAGATCTGCCATTGTTGTTAGCTCTGCCACAGTGGCACCCCTAGAAGGATGAGATGTTTATTGTGAAACGCAGAAAGGAGTGTAAGAAGATTGAGCAATGAGCAGTGATGCGAAAGTTAGCTTTTTCAGTATATATAGAGACGGATAAGTGATGAGACTTGTCCACCTAAAGGTATTGTGGCTTCTAATGAGATAAAATGAACTTTTTTCTCGTCTTGGGAATCAAAAGGCAGAAAGGTGTAAGGGAATAACATCAGGAATCTACCTTGCTTTTGTTTCAATATACCCCCAAAAGGAACTACAACTTTTCAAAAAAGAAAAACTTACAAATGGTAAATGTGATTAACCCATGTTAAATACCAACAGGTACAAAGGAAGAAGCCTTGAAAATCCGAGTCCAGAATCAGAGAATGGTACATTATTATTTTTTTGAAGACATGGTGTGGCAGAAAAAGCCAACAAAAGCAGAAATCTATGTGTACATATTTATGTACACCTTTAAACGTGTATTATTGTTTGGTCCAGAAAAGAAGAGGATGAATCTCCATTCCATTAGTTGACATAAATAAAATAGTAAATCATTAATTAAGCTGGAAATGATCAAAGTTAGGTGATTAAATGAAAGAGTCCAAAAGGGCAGCGGGATTGGGGAAGTTCCATGGTAACATTTTCAATTAACAAAACTCTCCTTTGCCTTTATTTTGTTATCTTTTTCTAAAAGCTGCATCTGCAACTGCAACTGCAACTGCAACTGCATCTTGATTTGCAGATATGGTAAGGGACTATTGGCTGTAACCGTACAATCCTCAACCTTATCCGCAACTCTGTAACAAAGCTCATTCATTCATTAATACATGCAGAACCTCCCTCCATCTCAACCATGCTAGAGACTTCCTACCAGACTTGTTCATTTTCAATTTTTTCAAAAACTTTGGACTTTTTACTAACTTATTCTCTGATTTCATATTAAGATTTTGGATTCCAATAGTCAGGTGGAATAAAGTAATTGATGGAGAGAAGGTTAAAAAAAAGAGAGGTTGAAATGAATAGTTAATTTTTTCGGTAAAGATCAATTATCTGAAAAAATTAAGATTTTTGTATCAATAATACTCATAAGAACAATAATTAATTTTATTAGAAATTTTAAAATTATAAATAAATAGTTTTTTTCACAAGGAAGTGTTATTCATTTTCTTCAAGTCAAATAAAGTATTCCTTGTATTTTGAAGTTATGTTGTGATTTTTTACTGATTCCATTTGTTTTTTTAAATGAGAATATATACCTTTTTAATCCGAAACTATAAAGGAACAATAATTAAACGAAGACTTTTTCAAGTAAACGAATAAAAAGGGAAAATTTAAATATAAAAAAACCAAATAAATACAATTTAAGTTACATATTTTAATTTATTGATTCAAAACATTTAATCAACCACAAGTTTGTCCATGTTATCATTGTATTTTAACATATAACTAATACCTTTGAAATCTTAAATTTAGGTTTATTTTTAATTAAAATCTTAAATTTTTCTCTCAACATTAAACTTTTTTTTGTTAAGATTGAAAGAATGAAAAATCGTCCTTTAAATCTGAGCTCCTGACCTCTACAGATGTATCATTCCTTATGTAGCTTTAATGTCCACATTAGAGAAGGCAATCAGCAACTTCCATGATAACTTGGTACTTGTTAAATTAATAGACTTAAGTGGAGCATAAAAAAAGATCACAATAACCATGATAAATATTTAAATGTTAAAAATACTTATTATTATAATAGAAAATTTACTTGAAGTTATATGAAATGATATTGATATTTTTTTTTTACTTTAAAGTAAACATTTATACCTCTTATATATTCAATAAAATTGCACTTATATCTTTTTTTAGTAAGCTATATCGTTATCATTTCTTGTATTTCTTTTAACAAATCATACTTTCTTTTGTAATTTAAAAAAAAAAATTATTTATAATTCTTTTTAATTTTTATAATGTTTGTTCAAATTTTAATCAACTTATTGAAAGTAAAAATAAATAAACATTATTTATTAAAAATATAAAAAAATAATAGTTTCTTACAAATAAAAATAAATAAACATTATATATGTGTAACTTCATGAGGACATCTTAGCAGACATCTTAATGAGATAATGGCATAGGCATGTCAATAAATTGGACACAGATGGATTGTAAATGACACACATAAAAATATTATATTTACTATATAAAAACGTTAAGAAAGTATAATTCAATAGTTACAAAGCTTACGTTATACAACTGTAACGTGTTGCAATATTATCATCATTTGTATATAAAATTAACAATTTCATTTATAATTAGAATAGAATTTCCATATACAAATAAAAACAGATGCTCATAGCATTGTGTTTACATATTTTTATAATAATAAAAATAATAAATTATTATTATAATTTTATTGTACATAATTTTTATTTATTTTATAGATAATTTTTTAATTAAAAATTATTAAATTCAGAAGACAGTCAAATCAAGAAAATAATTAAATTTAAATAAAGATCATTTAAAGAATAAAATTAAAAAATAATTATTTTAATTTAAAAAAATCATTTAGAAGATAAAATTGAAAATTTAAAGTAAACACCAAAAAGATAAATCCCTGTATAAGTATAGATACACAATATTCTCTTAGAACTATTATGTATAATTATTTCTATATCCTCTGAATATAAGCAGGAAATTTCACCACCGAACTTTTATTTTTTTATTACCTTGTACATTTACATTATTTTTTATAACCTTTTACTATAATATTTAATCACATAAATTGTTCTTTTAACTTTAAAAAATGTTGTCAGAATTGTAATGTGACAACCTCAATATTAAGTAGAATTTAATAAATAAAAGATGATCATCAATGTTATGTGCTGGTTCCATCCAGACATAAGCTCTTTCTTCTATTATTTATTTTGAACTATGTAATGCACAAAAAAACTTGCAGATTCCAATTTATTCTGCTCTGCATTCCACAAGCTTAGCTATTAAAAAACATGTAAAACCATATAAATTACATGTTATTATTGCGTGACGACAAAATAATGAACCTTTTGAGTGTCTTCTCTAGAAACAGATGTCACCTTGAAGTTGTTATTTTCACTAAGATTTGCTATATGCAACGAATTATTCTAAGACTAAAAAGCTTATTACTATACTAAATCTGTGTAAAAGGAATGAATCTTAATTTGCATCTTACTTCCTCTCTCCATTTAGATCTCATTCTATCTTGCGTGCTGCATGGTAAAGCTCCAAATAGTCAAGAGCAGGCCGGTTCCAAGACCAGTCTTGCTCCATCACCCTTTTGCATAAACTGTTGAACCAATCACGGCCATCATACCATGCTGTTATTGCCCTGAAAAAGTTACCACAAAGTTAATTTTGCTTTGCTGTAAGAAACATTTACAAGAGGGTGGCAATAACGTAGAACAACTCAAAATAAAAACATGCCAAATGCTTTTGGTTTCCTCTGTCCGTGTCAAAGCCACTTTAAACCCTTCTTTCCCAATGAAAATTCCAATGCAAGAAATTCAGCATACAATATTGGGACATTACTACTGAGAGCATCATATATAGCTGGGAGTACTTTATTGGCAAATTGATTTTTTCATGATATAACCATTTGACAAAAAATTCACCTATTGAGAGCATAATCAACACCTCCAACATCAGCTCCATCAAAATTAAATCCATTTGTCTCAAGACCCTGTGCTTGTGCTCTATCCTTATCGTGATCAACGTCAAATACGGTATCAAAAAGTCCTGCAAAGTTATTTTAGATGAATGTCAACTGAACCAAAACAGTTGAATGAACAAAAGAAATAAAAGATAAAAAGCTATTTCATATATAAATATACATGAGATAAATGGTCGATGTGTTATTTGGGTATGTATACTAGCCATACCATTTAAATGAATATTATGTGATAGATTAATATGTAGCATGTACAGACCTCCAGTTTTTCGAACAACAGGTATTGAACCGTATCTCATTGCAGTTAGTTGAGTGAGTCCACATGGCTCAAAGATTGAAGGAACAAGAATGAAATCAGCACCAGCATATATCTAGAACAAAAGAAATCTAGAAGAGTCAGTAGCGTCCCATAATTTTTTGACTGTATATATAATAATGGATAAAATGCTACCGAAGGATCAGTTTCATAAGTTACCAAGTGCGAAAGAGGCTCATCGTATGCAAGGCAAAGTCTAGCACGATCATTATGAGAGGAATGCAATTGATTTGCCAAATTCACAAAATCATTTTGGATACGAGGATCTGGGGCCGAACCAAGCAATACAACCTGCATAACATTTTACTGTCAAGACTTGTCTAATTAAATGAAACATTAGTAAACAATTTATAAATGGAACAAGAAAATCTAATAACAAATTTAAACATCATACTTTGACAGCACCTATTTGAAGTATAAAACTTATTCAAGAAAGGTAAAGGGTCAAATCCAAGTTCAAGATATCATTCGTCCTAGATGTTTACTTTTGCAAAATCATTCGACTGAAAATTGAAACTGCTAAGTGGAGGTCAAAAACTGGCCACCTATCTTTAACCCAAGGGAGATGACGACTGAGATCCAACAACTTAATAAAAGAATATTTAATACTGCATCAGTTATCAGGTAAATTATTTTGTAATGATAACAAAAACAACAGTCAAAATGCATATAACTTTATTATCCCATATTGCTATTATGAAGGCAACTATGGCATTGCTGGTGTACACCTTTGTGAAACAGAAAAAAGGAATACCTGTCCACCACGTTCTAGGGTGCGCCAAATGGCATGTTTGATGAGATGGATCCCTTTCTGATGAGTCAGTCGAGTAATAATTCCTACTAAAGGAAGATCAGCTCTTTTTAAACCAAGCCTTTGTTGCAAGGCTTCCTTAGAAGCTCTTTTTCCTTCAACAACGTTTTCTGATGAGTATGATACCTGGAATAATGATATCAGAAATAGTCATAATTGACTTAGTAAACTAAATAAAATAGCTTCTATATAATAAGCACAGGCATCAATTGAGTTTAAGATATCAGTGTAGCCATTAACGAACTCCACTGAATAAAAAGAATCCGTCAGTCCATTTTCATTTAAGAAGTCCTACTTAAAACTTGTCTTAAACTTATCAGAGCAATGCATGCAGTTGAGTACTGTTGAAACTTTAACAGTTGAGTAATAAGTAATATTCCAAGTGCATATTGATTATTCATCCCAAACACTCACAATCACTACGTTACATAAGAAACATGAGGTAAGTATGTTCACAGAATCAGTTGCATCATTTTGAAGTCACTAGTAAGAACCAAAATAGGATGGAGTTATTCAATACGATTATCCAAAGTAAAAGATCAAGATAAACAAAAATCATCAGAATTATTCTAGCTTAACTTTCTAACTTTAGTTAGTTTTCATTTACAAGAAGCCACATTGTTGGGGCTAACTTTGATAACCACATGCCATTCTAGGACCCATGTAAGAAAAGAATAAAAAGATCCGTGTATATGTCTACTTACAGGAATGAATTTATCATTATATGGGTCCCATATATCTGGATCGATTC